AGCGGCTGTCACAGCCTTGTGTCCTACTCGCTGCAGAAAAGTTAAAAAAAAAAAAAAAAGAATTATCCGCCACGGACGTAGCATATGAGTACTGCTAGCTGAAACCAGCTGCACTTAACAGTACTATCCTATTTGTCCAATTTACGACAAATGCAAACTTTAGGTACAGCCCAATAAGGGCATGTTATTTTGGTAGGTCGTTTTTTGTGACTAACCCTTTAAAACCACAGTGCTAAAGCCCGAAGGGCATGCAGTTCATTTTCAGAGAAAAGTTTCGTTTTAAACTTTTACACTGGAAATTACAACCTGAGGTGAAGGAAAAAAAACCCTAATTGAAAGACAGGAGGAAAACTCTGCCTTCTGTTTTGTTAATTGAAAATTGTCCAATGAAGAAAGAAACAGATTAAGTTTTTGTATTGTAGTAGGGAGAGAAGCAATTTTGAAAAACAAAAATAAAAGAAATGGGGAATTCTACAGTGGACACAGTACCAGAAAGCATTCTCTGACATAAAATGCTGCTGCTGGTAGTGCTCTGGCAATGTTATTAAATGATGATTATTTTTAATTAATAGTCATTTAGCTGAATGCCCTCTTTCAGTAATGAACCAGAAGTCTCCAATGTGCTAAAATATTATGTGTGAAAATGGCTTAAACTCTTAACTTCAACTGTTAAGCCATTAGCTGAAAGACAGTTCTGCTGACATATGAAATAATATCTGCAGATGTATCTTTGTTATCATTACACTGACTAATTGGATGAAGCTAATAGCCAGTGAATTTGTCTGATTTGGTGATGATTTCTTTTTCTTGGATGTGTTTTATCATTTCTCAGTGCAGCATTCTGTGGTCATTATCCTCATTTTTGATCATGAAATGCCAAAGAAATGACGCTGGAGACATGAACTGCCACTAAGTAAAAAGTAGTGAAGTTAGCAATGGCAATGAAAGAACCAAAGTCCAGGGGAGCAGACAGGGAGACCAGTGAACTTTTTAAAGATAGCATCGCTCACTTCCTGGCTGTTACAGCACTGTTATATGTCTGCATAATGGACTTGGCCAAAATGAGTTTTTTGTTCTAAAGGAGTATCTGTTTGTTTTTCAAAAAGTATTTCATCAGAGATGTTACAGTGAGACTTTGTACTAAACTGTATTTGAAAAATATGTTTGTGATTTTTATATTTTAATATTTGCCAGTGTTTCTTAGATTATTGATAAATTAATGACTGTCATGAAAATGGAGCATTCTTAAATGTATGTTACTGACACATCATGGTATTAGCATTCTTAACATGAAATTCTGAAGGCTTTTTTATTTTCAGGCTTTGAAGTGTACAAGCCGTGACTATGCATCACAACGTACTTTAAATGTAAGTATAAAGCACCATCTGACTATACGCACAGGCTGAATAAATCACTGTTCTAACTCTGCTTCTTAAATCCTGAAGATTTTTGTTAAGTTATCACAACAAATCTGCATTGTAGGCGGTGTCACTTGCCAAAAACCCCAAATTCAGCAAAATTTGGAACAAAGCTAAGACTTCCTAATTTTTGTTTGCTTGACTAATTGTCAGGTTGTGTGGGATAAAATTGGTTAGAAGTACATCAGCCAATTTATAAACTTACTCTGACTATCTTATACCTGTTATTGGAAAATACATATGATGCTATCTAACCTCTTCAAAGTTATCTGTATGCTATCCCGCAACTTGCTATTACAATGTAAAAGAGGAGTGCAAATATGTTATAGTACTGAAGTTAATTATGATGAACAGTTATGAGTTAGATGGATTTTCTTAGTTTTTCAATAAATGTATTCTGTCATTTGGGATTTTTCTTTTTGTTTTGTTTTTATTTTTTTAAATATTTTCTAGGGTTTCTTTCTTTGCTTGTCTCTCTAAATAAAGAACTCAAGACAAGACCCTACAAAGTTTTTGTCTGACTTCCATTGAAATCAATAGGGTTGAAGGTATTCATTGACTCTACTCAGTAGCTGTGCAGGAGCATCCAGAGCTTTGAAATGTGAATCTCTTTGGTGTCAGGTCCTCATGCTACTCTCACAGGGAGCCAGGTTAGCAGGTAGGCATATTGATGTAACACTGAACAAAATTAGAACTGAGGAAAAATATGAATAAATCTGTTTTGAGGGACTCCTAGGAGTAGCTGAATGTCATACCATCTCTTAAAAAAACTACTGTTATGCATTGTCACAGGTCTTTAATCTGATAGAGCTTTGGCAAAGCCTGGTAAGATTCTTACTTTTCCAATGCATGAGATATTGCTTTACTATGTGTAGACTAAATGTTTATGTAATTGTAGTGGCTGAAATCAGCAGAGAGAGGGAAGTGCTATTTTATAACCTACTTTCCTTGCTGTACAGACAGAAATCACAGAATCACAGAATCGTTTAGGTTGGAAGGGACCTCTGGAGATCATCTAGTCCAACCCCCCTGCTCAAGCAGGGTCCTCTAGAGCATATTGCCCAGGATCAC